GCAAGCTTGCTTTCATTTTCTGGGTACAAGGGTTTTAGCCCTTGTTACTTTTTTTGTAAATGTGTTATATGAGTTTTGATTATTTTGTATATCGGTCATTCTTCACTTATAAAAAAATGAAGAACAGATATTTTTAGAAACAAACTTACAAAACACCTTTATCAGAAACTTTTTAGCAAAACAATGAGGTTTTGACTTCTTCTGATCTTCAAAACCCACTATTTTGGCAGACAAAAAAAATATAAAAAATAACAAACACAAAAGAATTACACATTGGCTAAGTAATAAGTATAAACATAAAAATTAAAAAACATTCTCAATTACAAACATATATACACCTAGTTTAGAAGAAAAAATCTCCTTTTTAAAAAATTGGTCTTTATCTACTAACAACAAAGGCATTAGAATTATAGCAAGGGACTTTAACACAAACCTAGACCCAGAATCAATAGAATAAGCCAAGCAATAGCACAAAATGATCAGTTCAGAGAACTAGCAAAAGACCTTATGAAAAACTATACAGGTTCATAAATTTTTCTAAAGAAAGCCCATTCATCACATTTTACCAAACAACACAAGACAACTAAAAAATGACTACTTGGCTAAATTATATTTTCATTAAAGCAAAGTATAGCCATCTTGGCAAAAACACATACACACAATTTGGTAACTTAGATTATTTATTGGTAATAACTGAACTTAGCTTAAAAAACAATCTAGTCTTTAGATTTTTTTGAAAGTTCTATAGGAAATTCTGGAATATCTCAGAATTGAAAGCAGATATTATTTAAAAATAAAAGAAATATATGATGCAGTCAACTGGAACCTACACAATTGCATTATACAGTCAATAGTTAAAGCTTCAAATACCTACTAGCATTAGAGAAAAAAATTCAAAGAATATACAAAAAGCTGTGTAATCTAAACAACAAAATAGCAAGAAATCCTGATTTAGAAGAGCTAAAATTAGTAATAGATGACTTAGAAATGCAGTTACAAAAAGAGTTGGGTCTCCTTTTAGATAAGTGAAGATAAAGGTCTAATGCTAAATGGATAGAAGAAGGAGAAAAATCAACAAAATACTTCTTTTTATTATATAAAATGAAACACATAACCTTATGCAGTACAAAAATTAAAATTCCAAATTCATCAAATGAAAATACATTAGAACAAACAATGAAATATGTAATAGTTATTTCACATTTTATCATAGATATCATAAAACATTATGGGCAGCCAGAAATATTATGCATAATTGCAGCACAGTCACAATTATGCATGTTATTGGAGGCTGATCTATGATGTTTTATAATGTCAATAACAAATACATGGAATAACTGATTTATCCTCATGAATCTTAACACTCATTATTTTTTTATTGTATCTTCATGGCTTTTTTTACAATAAAAAAAAACTATTCTCAATGAATACTTCAAAATTTAATACCACTTTTTCAGTTTTTAAAACAGCTAAGCAAAGATTAGAAGAAATAAACACAACTGTTTCAGTTACATCTAATAACATTTTAACTAATATGCAAACAAAAGCTACATATTATCATGAAAAGGCCAAAAATAAAAATACAGAAAGAACTACAAAAAATTGAATGATGAAATTTGAAGAATTTCATACTAGCTTTAAATATTTAACCCCTTTAACAAACTTAGATAATGTAAGACAAATCAAAAAAGAAATTGTTGAATACATTTCAGGTATAAAAAAAAATAGTAATGATTATAGAGCAAATTCTATTAAACAAGCAGTAAATGCAATTAGCAGATTTTTACTTTATAATTTACCAATTTGAGTTAATTTACATGATTAATATTTATTTCTGGATTTGTATACTGTTTTATATAGAAAAATGCATGATCTTCAAGAACATGAATTTGGTGAAATCAAGAAATCAATTGCTTTAAATTCACAACAAATTCAAGAAATTTTACAACACTCTAGAATTGATTATAACAATTCAGTAAATCTATTATATTGTATTTTTATACATTTATCAATTCTTCTTGTAATGCATAATGGTGAACACTATCAACTTAAGATTGATCAGTTTAAAATTGATAAGCATAATGGTTTACAATTTTTCCTTATATATCTAAAAATAATCAACATGAACTTCAAAAAGGTTAAGTACAAGTTATTTCTATGTAATGATATAAAATTCTATTTGTCAAAATGATCTTCTGTAGCTGATCCAGAATTTTATTTACAACCAAGTTCTAATTGAATGGAATCAGGTGATTGGTATAAAAAGAATCATGTAGGAAAAAATAAATTAATAAATTTCATGCATGAAATTAAATGTATAACACAGATCAATATCTCTATAGAGTTACTTACAAACTATTCTGGACAAAAAACTGCTGCTCAATGTTTACAAGATAATGATATTTCAGAACAGGCAATTATGCAACTCACAGGACATAGGAGCATTTAAGGAATTCATGCTTACAAGCAGGTTAATGAGGATCAACAACTTAATACTATAAATACTTTGATCAATATTATGGATGGTTTTGCAAATAATAACAATACTAACAATAATAATTTAAGTTCATGAAATCCTCTACAAGAAATTACACACAACATGAATTTTTCAGAAAATAATTTTAATTCTAGTAATGAAAAATTCTTCCAAATGCCAATTTTTAATAATTGTTTTTTTATGAATGTTATATTTAATATTCAAAAATAGCAAATTCATTAAAAATTAGAATTTTAAAGCTTAGTAAACATTTATGACAATAACTATGCAATAGTTTGTAAAATAACAATTACACAATTATTACATAATAAATACAATTAAAAGTTTATAATTCTTAGCTATACAATTTTTAGAGTACTGAATGTTTTTTATTATAATAATATAAATTAATACCTATTATGATGTTAGCCATAAAGATATCAGCTGTGAAAATATCAACTATAAATATATTAAGTATTGTGATGTAAGTCATGAAGATATTAATAAAAAAAAGTCATGAGCAAACAATTAGGAGCTGTGGGATAAATAAAAGAATTATTCAAGAAAATATATAAAAAAGAAAATATTAATATAACAGCTGCACAGCAGATTACCAAAAAGTTTACCAAAGTATCTACTTAACAAACCTCCTATTTAGTTAGGCCTATTACTGAAGAAGAAATTAGTCAAATTATTGACAGATTAACATATGAATTTTACAAAAACACAAAAGAAACAATTCTTCTTATAATGACCAAACTTTTTTAATAAAGTATTAAAAACAAAACAAATTTTAATTTTATAGAACAAAAGCTTTATTACCTTAATTTCTAAAAAAATTGAATAATTTGTTTAAAATTGAAAATTGGAGACCAATATTACTAGTGAACTCAGATGCAAAAATATTCATAAAGCTACTGGCCAACCAGATGTAATGAAATAATTAAATCCATATAACAAGCATTTATTGCCAAAAGATCAATAATAGATGCAGCTTTAGATGTAATAACATGAATCCTGCTCTTAGAACAACAAAAAGCCTTTGACAAAGTTAGCCACCACTTCATCTAGCTAGTTTTAGAAAAAATAAGCTTTGATGCAAAATTTATTAGAATTGTAAACTCACTATTTGCTAATCAAAAAGCTTATATTACAGACTTAGAGTTCATTTCTGAACTCTTCAAAGTTGAAAGAGAAGTGAGACAAAAAGATCCACTATTACTACTTCTATATGTTCTGGTAATCAATCCTTTAATGCAAATAATAGACCAAAACATCAAAGGCATTCTTATTAACAACACAGCTTTTAAAATAGTTGCCTATATAGATAATATATCAATAGAAGTTGGCTTCTTCTCAGATTGAGCCAAAATACAAGAAATAGTATTCTGTTATAAAAAAGTATCAAATGCCAAAATCAACACTCATTCTAATTACCTCAAATATTCACAGAATTGAGCTACCAAACCAAGCTGAATATAAAACAATTAGTAAAGAACAAAGTAGCATTACTATTCTAGACTATAAAATTAATATGAAAGGAAAGCCAAATAGTCTTTTCTGATCCAATATGAAAAAAATATAAAAGATAAGATACAAGTCCTGTCTTAAAGAAACTTCTTATTTAAAGGAAAAATTTTAGCAGCAAAAACTTTCCTCATCTCAAAAATATAATACTTATCTGCTACTACTAACAAGAAAACAACTAAATGAAATCGATGCACTAATATCCAACTGAATCAAGAAAAGCTTCAAAATGCTGCCAAAATATTCAACTTTCCAACTTAGCTATAAGCAAGGTGGTTTGACTGCTTCTATACTTAAGAACATGCTAGATGCAAGACTCTTACAATATGAACAAAACTCTTATCAAGCAGCTTTTTCTGAGCCAGAACAGAAAGATCACAAATTGCATCAACATTGCAGAGGTTTAAAAAAAAAATTAAAACAAACACATGATCATGGTCATTTGAAAATTTTGAAATATGTTCACTAAATAGTAACCAATTTATAGTTAAAAAGGTACTAACCAAATACTATAAAGATATAAAACCAAATAACAATAGAACAAACTCAGAAATAATGCTATTAGAATTCAAATAGATAAAAACAAAATATATTCTAAACAAGAAAAAAGACATCTTTTGGAGGCTAGCATACAAAACCTTCCTACTAAGCTACTGCTTGGCACATTTTAATTAAGAAAACCTAGAATATTGTCCAAACTGTTTTTATGAAACCCAAACAATCAAACACTTTGCCTTCAAATGTTTAATAAGCAAAAAAATATGGAAAACTACTTATAAGTGTTTTAAATTCTATGAAAATAGACCAATCCTTTCTTTAATCAAGAATATCCTTCAGATGACTAATATAAAAAACAAGAAACTTCAAGAAGCCACAACATGGCTACATATAACAGTAATATATAAAATCTGGTATTAGTATATTCAAGCCAGATAGAGAAATAAAATAATGCTACAAGAAGCAATCATAAACATAATAAAACACAAGTTAAAATATGAAATTAATCTTTTTTTTTGGTTCATCACCAGAATTTATAGAAATACAAAATTTCATATTCAAATGAAACAGTTCACTTTTTAAACTCAAGCAAAGGGAGATACATAACTTCCAAAAAGTGTAAACTATTATCAGCAAACATAAGCAGACTTTCATATAAGAAGGTCAGAACAGAAACAAACAAGGAAAGAGTCTTTAAACTTTTGAAAGTTGAAGAAAACAAAGAAAATAAAGAAAATATCACAGCTTTGAAGACAAGCAACACTACAAACTTTCAACAGGACACAAATATGGAAACAACTGTAGCAACAAAGGAAACTAGCTCAGACTGGACCAGTCAAACAGAAAAATGAACTAGAAGCTAAAAAAATACTAATAATAACAAACATAGAGAAAACAACAATGAACAAAAAGACAAAAAGAAAAATACACCAAACCAGGAGCATGTGTCTAAGCCAAACAACCAAAAGAACATGTCAAAATTTAATAAACAGGAACACATGAGCACCAGTATAGCAATCAACCATGAGAACCCCAACCAATTACATCTTCAGAAAATTATAAAAAGAAGGATACACCAAACAAAGATACAACAAATAATAGCACAAGACCTAAACAATGGTCCAAGCTATTTACAAGACTTAAAGAAGGAAAAGCTATTTTCACAAACTCCTCTTCTAGCCAAAAAATATACTCTAAAAACGAAAATGCTCTTATACTAAATATCTAAAGCTTAAACAATATTCCTACTAATGACATAATTACAGCTCTAGCTGCTAGCTTGGAAGAAGACCTTGTAGTAGCCAAACTACATATGTCTAGAGGAAAACAGTCATTTCTTGAAATGGTTCTTAAAAATAAAGAAGCAGTTCAGCTTTACACAACTAATGGAATCTCCCTCTTTAAACAAGCTTTTTTTGGGTACATTCCAATCAACCTAAATCGATCTTTTCTAGAAATATGTTTATGGGAGACACCAAAATGATCAACCACCAAGTTCTTGAGGCTTTTCAAAATATAGAACAAATTGCATTAATTAAGCCTCTACTTTATGAGGGTACTACAGTTTGTTTAGACCAATGGTTAGTTACATTTAAAACTACAGAGGACCCTGAGGTACCAACTAGAATACCTTGAAGTACCTATATTGGTAATCACAAAATAACAACCAAATGGAAGAAAGCACCAAAAATCTGTTTTTACTGTGAAAAGAAGAGTCACTTCAAGAGAGACTGCAAAGAACTGAAAGCTTCAATCGAAATCAGACAGTGATTAAAAGAAGCCAAAGAGTATAGAGAAAAAATCAGAACTCAAAACATCTCATTTCCAGAAACAAGCTTTAGCCATAACAACCCTTACATCAACATCTCTAAAGTTGAGGAACAAACAGAGAACTTAACAAATGCAAAAGATACAACTTCAGATCCTATTTCTGATAATGAAGCAATGGTACTAGAAGATACATTTTTTTTTTTTTTTAAATGTGAAATGGTGTACTTTATTTAGTAAATTACAAATACATTATTATTAGACTAATTATTGCTATTTATTTATAGTTAGATTTAAGAATC